CACTTGATGGGCCTCACTTTCCTCATTTGCCAAGCACGTCGTAATCAAATGTCAGTAAAACAAATAGTTCATTTTCTAACGCCAACGTTGTTAAATGCTGTTAATAAGTACTTTAGAAGGTCAATAGCTAAAGGAATTTTCCACCCGACCTAGGACGCGGTCTATCAAAATATATCTTGAGTACTTAATTTTTTTTTCTAAGAAAACAGTTTGAGACAATATCTCTTATTTCTTAGAATATCTGCGTATTATAGGAGAAATTTCGAGTTTCTAAAGTTCACAGAAAGTTGGTGTCCGCGAAAATCAGTCAGTGAACTTGCGACTTCGTGTGTTTTTCGCGATTCAAGAGGTATTTATTCAAGTTGTGGACCTGCATTTTTACTATATATCTTCGCATTAGTCTCTTCGTTAGTTTATTTTTGTAAACTAGGGTCAGTGGGTCAGGCCGAAGACGATGGGAACTCTCCTTGTGCATCGCAGTCGTTTCGCCGCCAAACCTGACCGAAATTAGCGACGAACATGACCAGATGCATCGTAAAGCCTTCGTAAAAAAGTCCGCGAATATGACTCGAAATCACTTCGGGGTTCTCAAATTGGCTCAGTACGACAGTTTTATTAGTTGTGCGCTATGACGGGTACATCTGTATGACGAAATTAGGCGAAAATGAACATAACAGTGTAACACACCACACAGCCGAGTGCGCGCTGAAACCGAAACCAACCAAATTGAAGCCACCGAATGGCGCCGAGTGCGTCAGCGCCCTCTGTCCGCCGGTCGGATAACTGCCGAGATGAAAAGGTCTATACGAACGCGGACTTCCGCTGGAGCGCTTGAATATCCTGGGCGGAGCCAAACGGATCGTCGTGTCGCATGCAAGTTCGGAAGCGTGTGTCTCAAACAGTCGCGTGCGGCAATTCGGAGCGGCGTTCGGACTGTCGGATCGGACGTCGGATCGGACGATTATGCCGTCCAGGTGTCTGGACATATGTATGCAAAGAAAAAAAAAACAATTTATAAAACAGCCTAGATGGAAAAAGAATGTTATGAAACAAATTTACAATGCGAAAAAAAAAAACATTTTAGAGCTATATTTACGGCGCAAAACAAAGTTTTAGTTGGCGCCCATGGGAGCCGCCGCGGCTCGAGTGGTAGACCTGGTAGGCACGGTCTAGTTATGACTTCTAGAAACCAAAAAGCCTCAAAATGGCACATGGGTAGTTCTGACATATTGCAGTGTTTCTGCCGTTACCACCCAAAACAAACCGTCAGGCCTGTCAGTCCTCGAAAACCTAATTTCTATGCCTTCAACGTGGTTGGGCCATTATTAAAAGGGAATTACAAAGACGGCAAAAAGCTTTTTTGTTTGAGCTAAGGAAGCTGGAGAACAAGGCTTTCATGAGGGAAAATTTGTTTCCTGCGAAAACTCCACAGCTGGCGTGCAGACCGGCATTCACTGTCAGAATTATCGCCGTATCAGTTCAGATACGAGGAATGGGATCCACAGACCAGACGGACGTCCAGACACAGCACTGTATCGGGCTGCTATCTCCAGAACCTTCTGCGAAACATTTTTTACAGTGCATCTCAAGCTATGATACGCCTAGTGCGAATACTGCTTAGTTGCGGCAAGACAGCGTTCTTGTTATTTTAAACTAAAAGCATTTTAAATGCCCCGGGTCAACTTTTTTTCACCGTTTTCGCAGTTTATTTTTAGAAGTGAAAAATAATAATAAATTTTGATATTCATATATACACTCCTTGAATAACGTTCATAATTTGTCCCCACTAACAAACTAAACCTTTTCAGAACAAACAGAATTGTACGACGCTTAAGTATTATCCGAACTAAAGATTCTCATTATTCAAAAGGACGATGCAGCAATTTTTATTATCTCAATAAATACCGCTTAAAATCAGTCTGACATTTATAACCTATAAAAACACGCGTTAGTTGTTTTTGTTTGTTTTTTCTATTCGCAATGGCAGACGAAAAAAAAAGTTCGAGAAAATTGAGCAGGTTTTACCCCCTCAACCCGCAGCCAGAACAAGCAACCACGTGATCCGATAGTGACTATGTGCCGCCATTTTTCATCATAGTCACGCGTTTGGGGTTGACAAAGCACAGGGCATTTGATAAGTTTCACAGATTGAAGAAAAAATGGCAAAAATCGCATTGCTGAAAACTCCACCAATGCTATCCCCACAACTTCGTCATCAACTTTTGGGATGGAAAAGCAGACTGAAGGGCGAACGTCCCCATTTCAAAGTGGCATTGCGGGCGAGTACACTTAAAGGGGCAGTGCAACGGTTTTAATGTTGAAAGAATTCCCAGTTTGCATTTTTCATTTTGTTTATACAAGCCCAAGTGACCAAAAACGCGTCACCTTTTCCCGAAAAACTGCTATTCTGCTGCGTAATCGCAAGGCATAAAACGAATTATTTGCCGATCTGCAGCCGCCTGTGGCGGCTAGAGTAAGTGTATATGCTCCGCTTGCGGAGCATGTATAGGCTCTGCAAGCAGAGCCTATAGACCTTTTCATCCTCCTCCGCATGGGCGCTGCCATCTTGGAATCACGTGACGCGGCAGCCATTAAGTTGCTTTAACTTGCTGCTCCGCTCTCCCCTCCGCGCCGTGGGGGATGCGTTGTATTCGTGTTTTTCGTCGCGTTTCACCGTGCTTTCTTGCCTTACTTCGGAAACTGTAGTCCGTTACGTCTACTCGACAACTAAGATATCATGAGGGTTCAAAGGTCCTTATGACAAGTGAGGTTTGTTTCTTAATAGTGGCGGAACATTTTCAGTAGGAAGCCCGTATATTCATATCACCCATTTTGGATCGGAAGGAGCGCAAGGAGACTACCTGTATTTCCTGAAAGTATCGTTCTTTACATTCATAATATATTGAAAACAGTTTCTTTTGATTATGTGAAGAAACTCGCGGAGGAGATAGACAACAAACGTTTAACTTGTATTTTATCTGAGGCTAGAAGTAATGGTACGCCAACATCGGGCGATTTGTTTGTTCATAATATCACACCTACATGTGTATGAGGTCCTTAATCTTTTTTTTTTTTTTTTGCGACGTAAATGTTTGGTTCCTCGGTTTACTTTTAAAGTTTAAGGAATTGTATACCGTGCTCGCTCCCACTTCGACAGTCATTTAAATGATTCATTGATTATATTTAGATAACCACTGCCATCCACATAATTTATTTTAACACAAAGGTCGGGACTTCCCGCTTAAGAAACTGCCATAGACACTTAACAATAGGGGATTCTAGAATAGAGTGCACAAAAAGATAACGTCGTTTCTATTTGCAAATTCAAAACGCGGTTGGGGTTCGGCGCATGCGCAATAATGACGTCGCTTTTTTTTTTTTTTTTTGCGCACGTCATTTTAATTTTTGCCAGTATCTAAAGTCCGCAACATTTGAAGCGAAAAAAAAAAAAAAAAGACGTCTGCATCACAGTTATTCGAGTCCAGGATTGTCGATGGCGTATAGAGGTTCACTTTCAGGTGCTGCCGACGCCGTAATTTACAAAGCGAATCTGTTCAAAGAAATAAATGTTTTTTCACACAGGTCCATGAAGTGGTGCCAAGCGCTTGAATTCAGCCGAACTTTCCGAGGTATTTCTCCTCCTGCACCCTTTAATTTTAATTGGCCAATTTTACGGGAGACAAATTCCAGGTATAATTTGACGGGCCTGTCACTTATATCATATCTTGAGTAAGCAAATATTCATATAAAAATGATTTATTTCCTAGGGCCAATATCGCGAAATGCTGCTAATGAGTTCCTTAGCAGGGTTGATAATTTAACAAATTTCCTACTCGGCCTGTCAAAACATGTTCAAGTACTGAATTAAGAAAGGGCCTAGGACGATTTTACTTGTTCATATTAATTATCTGCGTCATTACACGATACGTTTTTAGTCTGAGAAGTTCGCTAAAGGTTGGGTGCCCACGAAAATCGAGGAGTGAGTAGTAAATTCGCGAGTTCATCTGTTTTGGTCGATCCAGCACAATGCTAATCAAGCTGTCGATATGCTTCTTTACACTCGCATGTTAGTCTGTTCAATACTTTGCTTTCCTGGAAACTGGTGTCATCGGGTATGGTCGTAGACGATGGTAATCTTCCCTGTACATCAGTCAAGCGTTTCGCAACCGTCCATAATCAGATGCATCAAAGGAGTTGGTAAAAAAAAAACGCAATGTAGCCTAAAATACACCTCGTAGTCCTCAAGGTCGTTCAGCACCACTGTTTTATTAATTTTGTTCTACAAATAAAAAATAATCGTAGTACAAAATTAAGCGAAAACAACGTAAAACAGCAACATAGCCGCGTTCACGTTGAAACGAAACCAATGAAATTGAAGCAACCTAATGGCGCCGAGCGCTTCAGCGCCCTCTATCCGCCGGTAGGGCAACTACTAAAATGAAAAGGTCTATACAGTTACTCTAGTGGCGGCTACGGGAACTAAAATGACGGCGTCTCTGGGGGTACGCGGAAGTCAACAAACACTGTTTCCCTCCGCTGCTACACTCGCCGTCAGCCTCGAGGCGAACCGTCCTTTGTCCATCGCTCGCCGCGACCTTCGACGAGGCTAATCCTTTGAAAGTCGACAATCGCAAAGGAAGCGGCTGGGGTCTCAAGAGAGGGCCCAAGGGGAAACCACGTGAACCTCCAGAGTACGTCACTCGAAAGTCGGCGTGGAGAGTTAAGAAACACATCGACCTTCGAATTTTTTTTTTTTTTTAATAAGAATGAGTTTTTGCAAGAAAATGCGGTTTACGGTGTTTTGTTCCATAGGTGACGCAGATTAATTTCCGCAGTTAATTGGCCAAAGTCTGATAATCGTTGCACTGCCCCCTTAAACTCCACTAATGCGATTTTTTTTGTTTGTTTTTTTGTGTGTGGAAAGGGGGGGGGGGGGGGGCGGGGGGCAGTTAAACGTCCTATTTAGGATCATCTTAGACAGTAAAGCAGGTTGAACTTACCGATGATTGTGTACTTGACGTCTTCAATGGCCTTGGTGTCAATGTCCGAGAGCACCAGCCTGACCCCATTGGACGCCAACTCCATGGCGACGGCTCTGCCCACTCCGCTGCCTGCTCCGGTAATCCAGGCCACCTGTCGTCTCAAGTTGGCTGCAGGTAGAAGGTGCCCGTGGGCACGCTCCAGACATTGCAGTTTCAAAACGTAAATGTTGTTTTCTTAGACTAGAAGGCGCAAGCTACCACCCATTGCAGACGGAGTAACCAACCCATTCATTCATCTTATAAGGACACTTTGAGCTTTATTATAGAAAATAACGTGTTATACGGCTAGCTCTTTACGGTTCCCAGTAACGTACTTCCTGTACACTTCTGCGACGGAAGAGCGTCACACGGGATTGGGTCCGAGTGCCGCCTCAGCGTTCGGCTGCAACTCTCGTCTTCATTGATTGGACAGTTTAACACTCACTTAGCACTCGTGCCCGTCCGATCTGTGTCCCGAGCAGGCCTCCACTGGGTGACGTCAGTAATCCAACAGTCCAGCCTTGTAATTAAGGATGTGTCGAGCGAGCGCATTCGCTTTTGCCATATGTGCCACAAAAAATCGCAGAAACGGCGGTTTGTGCCTCTTTTTAGAAATCGTCCCAAAGCATATGATCTCATCAAAGTAAAACATTCCACCCCGAGACCGTGCCCGAGTCGGGATCCAAAAACACAGGTTTGCTTTATGATTGAAGACGTTAACATGACGAACCGTCTGTAATGGCCCTTTCGACATCCCAAATAGTTCAGATAAGAAGCTCGTTTGTATCGGTAACGACTGTAGATGAAATACGAGAAGAACAACGACTGACAAGGCACAACTTGTCCGTCCTCTTCCTCGGGGTATTTTTTTCGTATTTGTCAAAGAAATAGTATACATGTTTTAGAGCGCAGCTCTTAGGCGCCCGTTTCCAGGTTGAGCGACGTCGGCGTTGCAGCCGGCGTCGGCGTAACCGCGCGCGTTGGATTATGGGACGTCACAGTTTCCCCGCTAAATTTAGCGGGAAAACTGAATTGGTGTTGAGGTCACTTGACGTCGATTTTCCCGTTAAATTTACCTAGAAAATGTTCGCTGTATTTAGCGGGAAATGTTTGCTAAATTTCTCGCTAAATAAGAAGAACGGAGGGAGGGAGGAGCGGGGGGAACGGAGGGGAGGAGGGGCATACCCTCCCCTCCGTACCTTCCCCTCCTCCTCCTTAAGAGCTGCGCTCTAATTTCGCATTACAAAAAATTGTAAACATCTTTTATTTTTGTTTTGTTTATTACGGAATTTAAAAGTGATGTCGCGGCATAAGCGTCATGCCTCCAATTAATATCATCAAAATAATCACTGCTATATAGTACTTTACTGTGCATGTTAACAACCTTATAAATGGCTCTTTGCGTAAGCTGGCAGTAATTTCTAGAATCACGCGTGAGTTCTCCACATTAACCTGTATTCTTCGGTTATATCTCTCGTTAATCCGGACCAGGTTAGAGTTTTCCTCTGTAGTCTGGAATTGTATTAGTTTTACGAGCAAGAAATGATTGAAAATGTTCAAAAGCGTTTTTTTTTCGAATTGTTTACGATCGTTACATTGGTCGTACTCTTTATTATTCTTAAGCGAGACTCTTGGAACGATGCAAATGCCCTACTTTGAGTTCCAGACGGCGTGAGCGCGATCTTGTTTTCCTGTATAAATGTATTCATGGATTAATTGGTTGCCCAGATCTCACATCTGCTATTAATATTCACGTTCCGAGTCGAGTTTTGCGGGTTTCTCCAGCTTTACACATTAATCACATCATCCAAACCAGTCCCATGACCCGTATTCAACACTTCTACAATACCCTCAGGGGAGCAGATATTGATGTTTTTAACCCAAATTTCGAAGCTTTTAAGACTTTTGTAACTAACCTGTGAACATTTTTCTGTGCATCATTACCAAGGCGTCAAGCTGTTCATGAGCACATAAACTAAACAAATGAATGAAATGAATGAATGAACGAATAGTAATTCTGCTCGCTTTTTAAAGGGATTATCCACATTAGGCAGTTGTGGTAGGCCATTTCCGCAGCCCGCTAAGCACCCGGATAGCGCTCCGCAATCCGTCCAAGCTCCAAGACCTCGACCTATGCAGACAACGCTGGCGGCGGGGATGCGCAACTAACGCGTTTTTTGTTTTTGTTTTTCACGGATATTGCAGCGGAGGAAAAAAAATAATCTACTACAACTTTCTAAGGAACCGTAAAAGGTACACTATTCAATACAGTTGGTATACAACACCAAACAACACTTACAAAAAACGAAAATTCCACATTTTTCTGTGAGGCGCCATACCGTTCACACAATATTCACGCATATATACAACACATTACTTGTCTGGCACATTCGTTACAGGCTATATTCACGAACCTTTACTTGGTCTAGGGCTATTATTTCATTCACCCATCGTATAATGCATAAATCTCTCGTTGATTTCCCAATCGGTGGAAAGGTGGTGTGGGGTTATAGCAATTTCCACGCTATTACCAAACTCTAGATTTCAGTCAGTAGCGAGAATTCTCCGGGTTGTCGCTATTTCAAGGAAAAACCCCAAACATATTCTACTCCTGTATAAATATTTAAAAAAAAAAACTTGAAAACAATTTATTGTATTTCTTTATTAGCATCCCGCTGGAAAATATCGTTACAGTTGTTTTCAGTTTTACATACTGCTTACCGCCTTGCCTTAAGTATACCATTTCACACTGCAGTCAAATAAACAACTGAAAGAAAAACAGACATATCCCACATTTGTTTATTTACTTTACAGCACTTTGCCGGGAAAGTCACGGCAATAAAAAAACGCGCGCATTTTTTTTCTGTTCCGTGCAAGGTAATAATAAGATTACGTTAACCAACCAGCATTTAAAAAAATATGAAAGAGAAGAAATATTTATGGACACGCGCTATGAATTCGTAGAATCTCTCACGCTCCTTATCAAAAGCCCCTCGTCCGATCTGCCCGCCACCTGGTACGTGCTGCGCGAATTATCCGAGCTCGCCATAATTTCGTCGCGTATTCTGAGCACGTGTTTTATTTAATATTTTGTGACCTCTTACGAGGGCACTACGTAAGAGGGCGGTAACGGCGGATGTCGGCGTTCCGCGTTCCAACGTTTTCGACGAGCGCAGTGGAGACAGAGGCTGCTGTAGCTTTCGCTCTACCCACTAATCATTCCAACCAGAGCTCGGCGTTTCGACGTCCCCGACCACTCTCGCCTCCTCCTCTCCCGCAGCTTCTGCCCACATACTTTCGTTTCATCGTACGGAAACACGACGGACACCATGATGGTGCCCTTTTGGCGATGTCTTATTGGTCCCGTCAGCGATGGCAACTCACGCGGCTGTCACGCAGATGAGTGGGGGTTCGAATCCCGCTCGGCCGGGATCCTTATTTTAGGCATTCGGTACTTTTCTAGTAAACTCCAGGCCGTTACCGGCTGTCATTAACTGTTCTTTACTATTTTCTTCAACCACTTGAGACTGGGCGGCGTCGTCTCAAGTTCAGCTAAAAGTTTATTTACTAACACTTTCATATATATCAAAACCTGAACCAAAACCTTGTTGGGAACATTCCTGAGCGTGCCGCGTGGATGAAAGTAGCGCTACTTCGCAGCTTTGATCGCTGACCCTTCCGCCGCCAATTTAGGCTGCTGGGCATCTCTCTCTTTAAGTTTGTGACCAGAAGTTTTCCTCATTAAGCGTTCATTTTCTGTGTGTGTGTGTCCTTTTTTTTTATTGTTCTGCACTTTTTTTTGTGACAAAATTGTACCAGGCGGAAAGGGGATATAAATCAACGTATAGAAAATTGTATGCCTGAGATACATTAGCAAAAAGTACATCCTCACATACGTCCCGTACGGAATCAAACACTGATAGCGTATGTGGCATGCCCTATACTTATAACACAGTTACCTCTGAACGTACCTAACTATATCGCACCCCAAGACAACTATGTACGCCTTTCGTAAGTCACGCGGCGATTATTACATGTTCGGAACCACCGCACAATAGCGGAACAACCGACATCGTGGAACGTGCGTCATTCTATCAAATACCAAACTTCGGAGCGTGGTCAACGCTAGGAGTCGACGAGCCAATCAAACAGCGCCAAAAGTGCAACGTCAATGCGTTCATCGCCTTCTTCTGTGGGTGTGTTTTTGACTTTTAATTCAACCAAACGGATAAGGTGTGCCTTGAGGTTGCGGTTTCAGTCCGCCATTGGGCAGGTATTCCACAGCTGCTAACAGAGGGCAGTCTTTCCAAAGGGGTCCATAAGAACTATAGAAATATGTGCGATAACTTCTGCGAAGTTGTTTACGAGTTCCGATGTTCTTCATTTGATCGCAGTATTGCCATGAAATGGTAAGTGAGAATTATAAAGCTATTAGTACGTTGCATGCGCGGGACACTCATTATCTCCTCCTTTTTTTTTTTTTTTTTGTATCTTTGAAGTTGGTTTTGTTTCACGTTGTGCACAATCCGCTTTGGTGGAAATTTGCACATGGCGTAAATGTTAATGGTGAATACTCCACGTGGGGAGAGATAAGTGAATTAGAAGCGCCCGTCGCAAATTTCTGGCAATGATGGACAATTCCGCATGCCCTGTCCTGAGACAAGGAAGATTCCGCCGGTCGTGTGTTGTGACAAAAGCAATTACGTCTGCCCTATGCTGAGACAATGACAATGGCACCCGTCCTGTCTTCTTCCGCGACTTCCTCCCACCCAGACTAACAATAAGATTGAAGAACGATAAAGCGAAAGCCTCAAAGACCAAACTTTAGGTCGAACTCGCGGTCTCGTTCAAAGTATAGTTCCCTGTTTCAGCTGTATTCGAGAACAATTTTCAGTTATGTTTGATACTTCGTGTTTGCGCGCTCATTGTTCATTGATAATTTGAATTATTTTACTTTTATCGTGTGGCAGCGTTCTGCAGGATGGCACACTGGAAAGGCGCTCATCCAGATCAAAAAGGGTACCAATCTAAGCCGGCAATAATATTTGTCGTCATCCCAGGGATCGGGTCCCGCCCCTGCCCCAAGACCCAAACAACAAAGGCCACATACCGGGAGATGCGCCGAAACGTTCTGCCCAAACGAGGCTCCAGCAGGCGTCGGCCCAGTATCGAAACCAATACCAGGCAACCGCCAACACGGCTACGAGCGCGAGCGTCAGCAGTATCGAGATGCAACACATGGCTTCCGTTCTGCACAGCCGCCCCACCACACAAAACGACTCTAGCTGAAGGCAAGGCTGTGCTTGGAAGGGTGCACTTATCAGTTACTCCGTGGCTTTATCACATCCTAAGCTTCTCGGTCTTGTTTGCAGCACGTACAGGGAGAGATTGCTCCTATCTGTTTCTCTCTCCCTCTCTCCAACCCCACCGCGAATAGAACACCCCCTAGAGGACAAGGCCCCAGTGCAGGACTCTGTACGTCGTCGAACGAAGGCCTGCGTGTGCCACAGATTGGACACGACTGCTGCGTTAGTGTTTGGCTGGCACTCGTGTTCCATCAGTGAGGATACGAGCCTTCAGTCAAACGCTAACGCTGCACCCGTGTCCGGTATCTGGCAAACGCTGGGCTCCCTCCGTTTGATGACGTAAAGAAATCCAGCAGTGCGGCCTTGTTATCTACAAGCCGTTAATAAAATACTGCGAGCCTCATGTCTCTGAAACTCGAGACAGCTGTGGTGTAGTCGTGCAGTTTGGTCGACAGCTGTAGCAGTTTTGCGCTATATATGTTCTCGCAAAATGCACTTTACTCCTGTGTATCAGGATAGACTACGGAAAAAAAAAGTCTATTAAGACCAGAAAGTTGTTAAAACGTTGTCTAAATTAGCGTTTGATGAGATAAATATTCTCAAATCATGAATCGTTTTTGAATGGTGAAAGATTCAGCTTTACGAGAACAGTTTAAGTTGTTGCACGCACAAATTCATCACGTTAGTATTCAAATTTTCCTTCATTTAATGCAGACTCTGGATGCAATTTATCTTATCTTGATTGAATTAAGGCTCTTTTAAAATATTGGCATGAATGTCGTGGCGGTATAAAACTTAAATTTTGAGGAAATAACTTATGGCACTCCTATCACAAAGAGTCACTCAATATATGTACTGCTGTATTAGAATCCTGAGGAATAGGAATGAACTCGATCATCCTGTAGATGGTTGACCGTGTTGGTTTCGAATTTACGATAACGAAAGAGGGACATGGAATACAAAGGACAAAACCCAGGCAAAATGAAGCTGGACATTTCATTGGTTAGTTTACTCGATGTAAAATAGCTTGCAAAACAAAAATTGCCTATATTTATTCTGACTACCTGCATCCCGGAGATAAGGAAATATTTATTAAATATGCGATGTTTTGTTGAGCAAAGAGCAACAAAAATAAAAGGTGAGGTAATATGTTTCATTGTATATTAGCAAATAAGCACGAACGCTTGAGTACGACAACGCCTCAACTAATCTATATTGATCACGGGTGACATTTCTCATACCCTCCTAACTGCAAAGTGTGATTTTTTTTTTTTTTTTTTCTAATTTGTCGCATGCATTTTTTGGGGGTTTCTGAGCGTTTGGTCAATTTTGTTTTGTATGTTCTGTGTCATTTCCTCTTTGAAAAGTCTACATGTCCGGTTTCCAAATTGATAACTGTTGTTATAAGGATTCTAAAACTTCCAATCTAAGGTTTAGAAGACGAAAAAACGGTTAAAGTACAGGCGAGCTGGCGTAAGTTATGCATGATGATTGAAAACATGAGGCTGTGGTTTGAAAAACGGAAAATCGTGAAGTAGAAAGAAAAAGAGACAGACAACGTCTGTCCCCTTTTCTTTCTACTTCACGATTTTCCGTTTCCGTTTTTCAAACCACAGTCTCGAGTTTTCAATCATCATGTTTAGAAGACATTTGTTTGCCGGAGTATCATGCTTTCCACCATGTTAACTTAAACTATCCAGCTTTTTTTTTTTTTTTTTTTGTGGAGATGTGACAAATCTGCTGTTCATCAAAGTGAAAGCTAAGCGCTCTTCCCGAGAGATGGCAGTACGTGTCCTCCTAAGCATAGAATTTAAGTTATCATTATACAGATAGCGAACCGAAACTTGGATTTCATAAAAACAATGCAGGAGATGCATGTAGGCGGGACGCTACAATCCCTACAACACTACTCGTAAGGGGATATCTCGAATGGACGGCCGTATTTTTGGAAAAAGGGGTTGAGATTGAACGAGGCCGACGAGGCGCGTGACGTAGAGATATCTCGTTTCCTTCTCTCTTCGCTTCGCTCCCTCAAGGCGGCGAGGCGGAGAAGACGCGAGGCCGTTCCCTCTCTTTTTCGGAGAAACAAGACGTGAACGGAGTAAGGACAGGACGAGCGGGTTGGTGTAAGACAATTAAACTTGAGGAATTGAGGAAGAAAACGAGAAAGGACGCAAAACCACAAACTGTGGTTGTCCGTCCTTTCTCGTTTTCTTCGTCAAGTTTAATGACCTAAACATTTCTGTCAAATGCGCCTCCTTTTTTTTTTCTAAAAAAAAGTACGGCCATCCATTCGAGATATCGCTGTACGAATGACGTTTTGGTGTTTGTAGCATCCCGTTGCACGCTTTTGTGGCTTGTTTTGTGAAATCCAGATTTCGGTTCAGCATTCGTTCGCGCCCACATCGCGGGCAACCCCATGCATTCCACCATCACTGGGAGCTAACTCCGGCTCACAAATGTCTGCAGTGCAGGAAAAGGCACAGGCGTCGACCTAGCTCAGCAGAGCGCTTTATTTCTACAAGAATTAGCGTATATGAAAACTCCAAAAGTGTTTTTATACAAGATAGCCAGACTCTGCACTGTTCTTTGCTCATTAGGAACTGCTGCAGCCTCACGTCGGCAACGCTTTTTACCGCCAGAATTGTAGTGATAAAAGAGCATGTTATCACCATAATATTGGGCACTGCCACAGCAAATTCAAAGACGGAAACGGTATTCGAACTTTTGTAGCAGGTTTTGTAGTAGGCAAAATATTGGTTTGGCGCAGCAAAGTTTGTATTAGATCGCTAACGGCGAAGGCAGGTGGTTGAAATATTCTCGCGAATGGGATTGCCCAAAACCGTCTCCCCCGATCAGGCCAAAAACTTCACGCCTGAGCTCACACAGGAGTTGCTGTGCAAATTGGGGTCGTCAACCCATCTACGACTTTGGTTCGGTGGAGGAACTCCCAACAGACGGGCGGGGAACAGATGGGTCACAGAAGACCGTGGAGAAAAAGGAGATGTAGAGCGCGCAGCAGCTCGTTTTGGTCTTTTCTAAGCGCACAGAAAAGTGTGCAAATGGATTGCACAAGATAAGACTTATTGAAAGCTTACCCCAAAAGAAGAAATATGCTGATAAGGTGCCGATAAAAATGAAGGGAGGAGTGGAAAAGCAGGTTGAACAGCTTCGAGAGTGGGGTATGATCTACCTAATTGAATCAAGGTTTGCTCGTCCGGTGGTGTGCCTAGCGAAGCAGGATGTGAGTACGAGATTGTGCATCGATTAGAGATAATTGAACGCAATCATTCAAGTCAATGCCTTTCCTATAAATAATGCAACCGAAATTATCTGGATGGTCGCGAAGGCGTCGTATACAACACTACTGTACCTAACTCGGGGGTACTGGAAAATACCATGCAGTTGAAAAACGGTCCCAGAAGTTTGTGGCATTCGTAACCAATACCGGACAGTACGCTTGGACAGTTATGCCCTACGTGTTGAAAAATACAGTGGCAACGTTTCAGCGTGTGATGAATGAGGTGCTGCAATCATACTGAGAATATGCAGGAGCATATAACCATGACATTGCAGTTTATTCGTCTAAGAGGGGAAGACCACCTTTTGCATGTAAAGAGGGTTCTCGAGACCTTGAGTCGCGTGGGGCTCACTGTAAAGCGCGAGACACATGCGCGCAAAACATCCATCCGATCCGACGTCCGATCCGGCAGTACGACTGCCTCATCCGAAAAGTTTGGTCGCTTCAGACATCGGATCGGCGATCCGACATGCATCCAACGCGCCAGATAGTTTCGAACGGCGGACGGATTGTCGGATGCGTCCAGCCAATGACAGCACAGCTAGCGCGAACGTCATGATGACGTACTGGGTCTGGCTGGACGAATAAGAAAACGGGACGGGCGACGGGAAGCCGGACGCGTGGATCCCGCTGACCGATTCGAGAAAGATGGCCCCGGCAAAGAATGCACGAGCTAACGAGAACGAGCTTCTAACTTCGCTCGTGTGAGCTAAAGCGTCAATCTGGGACCAGAGATCTGTGAACGCGGACCTCCGCTGGAGTGCTTGGATCTCCTGGGCGGAGCCGAGCGAATCGTCGTGTCGCATGCAAGGTCGGAAGCGTGTGTCTCAAACTGTCGCGTGCGGCAATTTGGAGTGGCGTTCGGACTGTCGGATCAGACGTCGGATCGGACGATTCTGCCGTCCATGTGTCTCGCGCTTAAAGCTGTCCAAATGTAGCTCTGCCAAGGGAACGGTCATGTACCTGTGCCATCAGATCGGCTCTGGGGGGCATGCTCCTGACCCCGTTCGTGTCAAGGCGATTCAGACCATGAGGAGGCCAAAGACGAAAAAAGAACTGATGAGCTTTACAGGTCTCATGAACCATTATTGGGACTTCATTGCGAATTATACTGGAGTGATGTTACTGTTGCCATCAATCGTCTAAACTGGAGACAGGACTCCGAATGTGCTACCACGGGGCAGTGTTGTACACGTTCCTCGCTCCTTCTGACTTTTGGAACGCGTCCCCGTTGCAAGTTCTATTTCTGAAAAAGGAACTCGTTTGCGTTACAGTTAAAAGAATGGAACGTATCGTTACATATACGTTACACTTCTATTTTGCTGATTACCATATTTAGTTAGACTAAGCAACGTTTTTTTTTTATCTATCCCATCAAATGGGAGCATACGAATTTGAATGCAGTTATGGAAGCGCATCACGAGGAGAAAACAAGCGGAAGCGGGGTTTCATTTGTTCTATCCAAGTTTAAAATCTCGGCTTTTACCGCATTCTTGGTTGTGGTGGACGATTCAAACGAACCACCTCGGTATGAACTTTCAGGCCGACCGCGCGAACACCATCCTGATAAATAAGCTCAAACACACCACAGACCAAGTCACCCACATGATCCGACGTATAACCACCAAAACGAGGGGTGTGCGCGAGGTCGATACGGCTCGCCTAGTCCAGGCATTCATAATCTCCCGCATTACGTATGCCATACCTTATGCAGTCCTAACCAAGACAGAACTCTTGAAGGGGGATGTAATGATCAGGAAAGCCTACAAACAGGCCCTCGGACTTCCCGTCAGCACGGCCACCGACAAATTGTTAAAACTCGGCCTACACAATACAGCTGACGAGCTCATAGAAGCCCATCTTTCCAGCCAAAGAATGAGACTGGGAGCCACGGGCACAGGAAGACTTCTTCTCTCTCGACTGCGTCTCACAACCCCTCTGCAGCATCCTCCCTCTGAAACCACGACTCTCTCTCACGAGGTCCGGAGACACCTCTCCATTTCACCGCTCCCCCGCAACACGCACCCC